TGACAAGAATAAAATTAACCATTCAACACATCCACATGGTCGAATCCATAATCATCCACTAATAATACATTCATCACATAAATGTATGTCTATATAATATCTAATATTATATGCAAACATGTTTCAAGTTTCTTACAATTAAGATCGTCTAAACTCTTTTAGACAAATGGATCGGAACAATTAAATAATTAATCAATCATATTAATCAATTAATTTAATTAGCGGATATATTTAATTAAAATCAAATTTTAATTAAATACCGAATTAGAGTCTAACTCCAATTCCACAATAATAGGGCGGGACTATTTAATTAAAATCAAATTTTAGTTAAATATCAAATTAGAGTCCAACTCTAGATTCAAAATTTAATGTGGTTGAATTTAATTAAAATCAAATTTTAATTAAATAACAAGATTAGAGTCCAACTCTAATTCCAAGATTTTAGGGTGAATTTATTTAATTAAAATCAAATTTTAATTAAACAACGTATTAGAGTCCAACTCTAATTTTTTAAGAAAAAATTTTAGGGCAAGACAATTTAATTAAAATCAAATTTTAATTAAATGTCAAATTAGAATCCAATTCTAACTTCAAGAATATAATCGGGTGAATAATTAAAATTAAATTTTAATTAAGTATTAAATTAGAGTCTAATTCTAATTTAATTTGAATTAACATTTTAATTTAGAATAGAACTCCTAAATAAAATAAAATTCAATTTGGGGCCAAAGTCCAATATTTAAGTTAAAATCCAATTTTAAAGAAAATATAAAAGGTCGTCAACTTTAAATAAAAATTTTAATTCGGGTCAAAATGTCAAACCCATTTAAAATATGATTTTAAAACCATTTTAAAATTCAAAATCAAAACAATTTTGAAATCGTATTTCAACCCAAACTTGAATTTATACTCAAGACCTCTAAAATAAAAAAAAATTGCAAAGAAGTCCTTTCATTTAATAATTGCAATCAGACCCCGAAATGGAATTGTAGGAAGGGGTTCCTCAATATCAAATATTGCAAAAACTACCCTTACTTAAAGAATTTACAAACTGACCCCAACAGGGATATTACAAACGCGGGCCTACAATTTCATAAATTACGTCAGAGGCCCCCGCCTTCATCACCTCAAAACTGCTTGAATCCGATTGAAGAAAAACCATAGAGAAATCACCCTTTCTTCTCTCCTTGTGGCACTAGTTTTATTTTAGGGGTGGTGTCGCCACCCCTTGGCTCCACTGGCGACTTCCTACAGCAGTGCAAATGTAGCCGCGGCAGCATGGCAGCACCGCCTTTTTTTTAATTAATCTATTTATTTTCCAATTCAAAATATTTTCTAATCAAAATCTGATTTTGAATATGAAAAATTATGTTCTCAATTGCTAAAACAAGAAAAATAATTAATTTTTAATTTTTCCAACATGCAAAACAATTTCTAACAAATACAAAGGAGGCTCTGATACCACTGTTGGGAATCTACTTAACATGCGCAACGAAAAGTTAAAATAAATTTCGATTCCCACCAAAAATTATCTTTGTGTTTAGATAGAAACTGTGATAAAGATTGTACATTTTTCGAGATCTGCAAACTCCTTTGCTTTTCCCTTGTTCCAGCAGCTTTGATCCGCCACCCACAGTTGTCCAATTGTCCAGCCTCCAATAGTGATCCACACAGAGAACAAGATTGTAGTATAAGGGTTTTTCTTATGCTAGCAAGAACAATGAAAAATTCTCTACAATTTTGAAAATTCTAATCATATTTATATAAGCCGAACGGGTTTAGCCTGACGCGGTCCAACATGTAATTAACCCATTTAATTAAATCCTGTCCGTGAATTAATTAATCCAATTAATCAATTCAAGCCTATAAATAAGCAACCTAATTAATTAATTAATCCAACGCTAGTTAAATTAATTAATTGACAAATCATAATCTTCTAGTTATCCTTTTATGTGCGATCCATCAGATTCCCGATCATGATATTTAACGACGTGAAATATTATTTTGATCTAATCAAAATTGATAAATTAAAACACCCTTTTAATTTATCACCAATCACTCGCCGTCTCAAATTGACATCTAGCAATGTGTCAGGGCAATACATATGACGAAAAATATCACGTGGTATGACAAAATCAAACTCGTTTGTTTACCGTGAAACTATAATCCCTTTGTTAATATGATCCGATCAATTACGAGATATGGAAGTGTATCAATTTCGATTATCAATCATATCTTTCACTCCACTATTAAGTCAATATAAGTCGAAAATTTCTTTTCGACTTATGAGTACACATTGACCAAGGGTTTCTTCAGGGCACGCTCAAATTGGTTGACAAAATGCTTCAATTATGTCTTTGAATCCACATACCCGTTGAAGAACGTATTCATATATTCACTTCTCTATATAGTTGACATCTGGAAAGTAGTTTTCAAAAAAACTGGAACATAACACCCTCGGCTCTCATATAATCCCGACAAGCAATCATTTTCATGCAAGCCATACGCAGCAATCACTGCTGTCCAACCATCTTCGAATTCTTGACTGGACTGTGTATCATTCACTAATCTGTGTATAGTCCCAAATATCAAACCCTTATCGACATTACATGATATCCAAACTTCTCAAACAGCTTCCTCAAAATATGCCGTAAGCACCATTTATGCTTCTTATTTGGGAAAACAATCTGAATTGCATTTTGCATTGCCCTTCCCTAATCTATAATTATTCCATGTGAAGTTTCACCGTGCATGCACTGAAACCATGTCCTGAACAACGATAGAAAAGAATCTATGTCTTCATCCGATACCAAACCACAACCAAGCAGAGTTGATTGTTTATGATGATTGACGCCAGCAACCGTGGTAAAAGGCATTTCGTACTTATTAGCGAGATACGCCTATTAAAATTAACCACATTGCCAAACTCCTTGTACGCCTGTCTACACCGATAATCTATCCAAAATATATTTCTAAGCCAAGACTCATCGTCCAAATCCATACTAATAAAGGACCAATTCCACTATCGAACGTTAGAGATTAACCACTAACACTCAGATAGTTATCCATGTGGAATCTCTCGACGAGTCTCCAATGTTTTGTTCTATAACAAAACATCCACGTGTTCATTTAAGTGTCACCACACTTTAACTTGTGAGATCAGCTACTTACTTCACAAGTAAGAAATGCCACACGTGATGGTCTATCCATAATAACGATATCCGTATCTTGTTATTACTTACGACCCCGAATGATTTGAGATTCAATTATATGTAATTTGTATCTCACAATCACAACTCCTTGTGATTAACAAATTATAAAGATCTGAATCTACGGATTCTATTATTTAATTTAATTGTTAATTAAATAATAGATCTATCATTAAATTGCATTAATTATACATATTACGAATATTTATAATTTATGTTCAATAATTAAATAATAGATCTATCATTAAATTGCATTAATTATACATATTACGAATATTTATAATTTATGTTCAAGGTTGATTGGACTTAAGGCATAACACTTACAAAAATTGCCGCATCTAAGAGCTTAAACTGTTGAATGAAACTTCTTTATATACATTTGGAGACGCAGTACTACTTAAAAGGCTCAATTTCACTATAACAAGGATCAATTTGCTGATATCATTATAATCTCTGGTGTTGCAGGATATCACAGGTAATTAATTTGTTGCGTTTTACTATGTTGCTTGACATTTACTTATGTTAAGGTTCTTACATTAAACTCTATATTCATGTTGGATTTTGAACTCTTGCAGCTAATCCTCATGCCTATACTAACTCCTCTTGTGGAAGAAGAGAAGTTGCTTTCAATAGTACTCTTTTTCAACTTTGTTCATGTAAGAAACTTAAAACTTAGTATTTGATGTCGAATACTAGATTCTGCAAATCTTGATACGAAGTTTAATGATGAAAAGATCTTTGAGCACACTAATTGATTTCCGTGACTAATCTTGGTCATTGAATGCAGATAATTCTTTACGGCATTGCATGGACACCTTGGGTACTCTCTCCTGTATTCTCAGTTGAAATTTTATGTACATAAGCTCTTTGTTATTAATTTTCTTGATTAATTAAAAATTTGTAGGTTCCATATGCTGCCGCCATGATCTCTCTTGTGGTTATTTTTGCAATGCCATGTGTAAGTTCACTCAAAATATGAACCCTAACAAGGTTCAAAGATTATATTTTGTTCTGAATATAGCATGTGCAGTTGAGCATTGCGTCTAAACAAATTGGACCCAGTGAGCAGTTGATCTTTCTCGAAGAATTTTATTAGCTTATATCATTTGACATATGAATTAAATTGAAAAGATTCTTACAGTGGACTTTAAATCAAGTCACGATGTCTTCTTGTTTTCAGGGAAAGGCTCAAGGGTATGTTACTGGTATATGTTCCTTTGACAACATTATCTCTCCACTTGCTTTTAGCCCTTTAGCAGGTGGGTAAAAACTGAAAGTGTCCAAATTTAATCTAATCTGGATAAAATTAATCAAATTATAATCGAAGTCCCTTTCTCTTCAGCTTTGTTTTTGTCAAATAATGAACCCTTCCATTTCCCTGGATTCAGTATTATGTGCTCTGGCCTCGCTGCAGTAAGTAGAATTCTTTCCATCTCTTCATAAATTTATATCTAGAGGTACGATTTGTACCCTCGACCGGACATGATTAGATATCGCCGAAGAAAAGAAGCATGTTAACAAATTAATTATGATTAATTCTGTTTCTTTTGTAGATGATAGCCTTCATTCAGAGCATCCCGATAAGGGCTAATCCACCTTTTACAACTTGTGCCGTGGAAAATTCAGACACCCTTGAGCCTTAAATTGAGGGAAAGATGTGTTCGAGCCTAGGATAAAGGCATAGTTAGGTATAACAGACGTTTTGTGTAATATAATTGTAAGATATAAGATTGATTAAAGAGTTTGATCCTCAATTTTCTAGCAAGAGTTTAAACTATGCCGGACAAGCAATGATTTAAACTTATTCGTAATACAATTTCATTAACTCAGATAAAGAAATACAAAAATGATAATATCAAACCATTGATAACTTAGAAAATAAGTACATATTAGTTAACAGTTACTTTGCCTTCCATGCCACCAGTCTTGTGAGGTGTACAGTAGAAACTGTATGTTCCTTTCTCAGTCAATGTCACTGAGAAAGTCTCCCCTGGTGCATTCAGAAGCTCAGTTACGTCCATGGAAATCTTAGACACGTCCACTCCGGCCGGTACTTCATCCTCATCAAACACCACGTTGTGGGGGTAGGCAGTGTTGTTCTTGAAAACAATTTTCTCCCCCGGAGTCACGGAGAAATCTCCAGGAACAAAAACTAGTTCACCAAGATCACTACCAAGCAACACCTCAATGGCCATTGCATTGCTGGCCAGCATTGCACTGGCAGCCGTGGCGGCAACCACCACACCAACATCCTTCAAGGAGGCCTTCACGGCGAGCTTAGGGACAGCGGCGGCGGTGGGAATCTTGGCGGTTGAGGTGGCCTTTGAGGCTGAACCACCAGCCTTGAGGCCAGTGAATAATGGAATAGAGACAGTAGCAGAATTAACAGTGGCCATTTCTGTTTGCAACTGGCTTATCTGTGACAGCAAATCAAGACGATAAAGATCGGTGATGGGGTTTTATTATGTGATAGAGGTGGACGTGTGTGGTGTGTGTTTATGGCGGGACTGGCAATCAGATAATGCGTGCGTGGACGGTAAAATGGGATTATCTGCTGGAAATACTCTCATTGGTCGATCAGGATTCTATCCTCTGATGTGGAATTGGATTTTCTGAATTTTATGGAGTGAGGCGGATGATGGCAATGAATTAGGATAGCTTTTGAAGACCTCAATAATCTGACCAATAAGCCCCTGACATTATTTTCAATCTCTATTTTTACTTTTGACCACACGTTCTCCTAAAATTTACTATTTAAAAAACTATTTTCCCAACTAATAATGGTCAAACATGGGTCAAATAAATATCTTAATTTTTGAATTTTATATTTTATTTATGAGGATTAAATGTAATACATGCACATATTCATGTGACTTTGATACTAAATACATAAAAAAAGAGATTTTTTTATTATATCAAATAGTGACTTGAGTTTTTATTTTGAAAGGTTAATTTATTAGAAGTGATACATCAAACCCTTTTGCCCTTGTTTGAGTCACATAAAAATGTATTTTTGAACAGTATATTGATGAAAAATGTGTGGTTAAAAAATAAAAAAAAATTTTGAATTTACATATAATATTATTTTATTGAAAAATATTTGTTGAAATAATGTCAAATTACAGTTAAAAAATGTATTTTTTTTTTTTTTTTTTTAAGGATATGGGTCAAACAGGACCTTTATGTCTAATATAAAGGACTTGTGCTGTGCTTCCCAGAAATACCCATGACCCAAAAAGCCCCTAAAAAAAAAAAAAAAAAAAATAATGAGAGAGGAGGCAAGAAGTGGTGCAAGAATTATAACAAATTCAGTCCTTGTGAAAAATTGATAAAAATTGTGAAATCCATAAAATATATTATTAAAAATAATTTAATAAAAAGGAAATTTTGGAAAATAAAATCTAGACTAAATATTAATAAGCAAGAGGAGAAGTGACTGCACAATGGGAAATAATGGGAGAAATTTAAAATCCATATTAGCTGCTTTTCAGCATATTGGTAACACCATTTAAAGGCATATATAAGCTTCTAGTGTCGTACAATGAATACAAGACGTACTAAGATTGTAGTACACTTATTTGTGCAAAGATATTCATAAGAGTTCTTTAAAATTATTATCAGGAAAATTATATTATATTTAATAAAATAATGACACAACGTACTACAATTGTAGTACACTTATTTTGTACAAAGATATTCAGAGCATTCCAAGAGAGGCACTTTAGACCAAAAATGCCTTTTATTTTCGAAAATAATCAATTCTTGAGATTATGTTTTAAAAAACTCTTTAAATTAACATTTTAATTAGAGAGTGAGTTCGACCTTTCAAATTTGGAGAGTCAAAAGCACTCTCTATAATTAAATACATTTAAAATATTATAATTTTCAATCAAAGAAAATAATTTAATAATTTAGAGAAAAATTGATGAAAATATTAAAGATTAGGAAAAATAATAAATATATTTTAAGAATAATAAAATTAAAGGTTAAATATAAAGAGTACATTGGAGTAGGTAAAGTTTTTACTCTTTAAATTTATAAATGCCCTCTAAATTGTAGAATATACTATTTAAAAATATAAAGTTTCTTGAAAATGTTCTTATAGAAATTCTTCGAAGTTATTGTCAGCAAAATTATATTACATTTAGTAAAACTAGTAGTAAGCACTAGTATTGCACTTCTTATGTATCAGTGAATGATAAAAATTAATTAACTGAAAGATAAGTCATTGAATTTTCGTGTTTTTTTTTTTTTTAGTCATCAAAATCCCAATTAATATACTAATTCAACATTTAGCACATTTGTTACCTCATTAGTAACAACCTAGTAGATGAATTATAATGTAAATCATGAAAATTAATAAGAGCTTTGTTAATAAAAATAAAAATTGCTTTGTTAATGAAAAATAAAAACTCAATAGATGAATTATAATGTAAATTATGAAAACTAAAAAATTGCTCAGTTGATGGAAAATAAAAAGTGTAAGAACAAAATACTTAATTGAATGATAACTCACTAAATTTTCGTTGATTTTTTTTCTTAATTAATTGAATGTTAATTTCACTTCTTATATTAATTCTAACCCAAATGGTAAATATCAATTAAATATTTCTACACTTATATCAATTCTAAATCAAATGTTAAATATTAATTAGATTGTAACAATGGCTTTGTTGGTGAAAAATAAAAAATTGTAAAGAAAAAAAAAATCTATTGAATGCTAGTCATTGAATTTCCGTGTATACTTTTTTTTTCTTTTTATTTCATTGAATGTCCTCATTAATATATTAATGCAACCTTTAAAATATTTGTAACCTCAATTAAATAATAACTTAATGGCTAAATTATAATGTAAAGCATGAAAATTAAAGATTGCTCTGTTGATGAAAAATAAAAACTCATTGCATGAATTATAATATAAATCGTGAAGATTAATAAGGATTTTGTTAATGACAAATAAAAATTGATTTATTGGTGGAAAATAAAAATTGTAAGAACAAAACGGTCAATTGAATGGAATATTACTAATTTTTTTTCAGTTTTTTTTTTTTTTTTGAATGTTAGTTTCAATTCTTATATTAATTCCAATCCAAAATGATAAATATCAATTAAATATTTTCACTCCTTATATTATATTAATTCTAAACCAAATGATAAATACTAATTAAATTAGTATTCCAATTATGAGGGTATAGTAAGCATATAATTAAATATGTAGGGGTAAATTTAGTATTTAAAAGTTTTTCCACCATCCCCACTTTTAATATATTATTAATATAATATAGTATATTGTAGATAATGTATGTTGATATGTCACTAACACGATCCTAGCTTTCTTGTTTTAAATATGTCGTTATTTACATCAAGTGCTATGAGCAATAATTATAAACTCACAATTTCAAGGAAAACCCTGCTTGGTCAAGCTCAAGGCCAGGCCAAAAACAGGGGGTCGCTTCATATATTAAGACACTAACACGCTCCTAGCTTTCTTGTTTTAATTATGTCATCATCTACATCAAGTGCTATGAGCAACAATTATAAACTCACAATTTCAAGGAAACCCCTGTTTGGTCAGGCTGAAAGCCACATCAAGTGCTATGAGCAACAATTATAAACTCTCAATTTCAAGGAAAACCATGTTTGGCCAAGCTCAAGGCCAGGCCAAAAAATAGGGGACCGCTTGATATGTTAAGATACTAACACGCTCCTAGCTTTCTTGTTTTAAATATGTCATCATCGACATGGAGTGCTATGAGCAACAATTATAAACTCACAATTTCAAAGAAAACCCTATTTGGCTAGGCTCAAGGCTAGGCCAAAAAACAGGGGGCCAACGTGGCGACCCCCTGTCGGCGAGGTGCCTGTACCCTAACAAGCAAGACGCCAATAGGGGCTGAATGTTTTTTAGCTTGACTTTGAGCTTGGCCAAAAAGCAGAGCTTTAACTTCAATAAACAAAATGCTCTAAATAATTAATCGATATTAAAAATAATATTGTTATATAAATTTCGATAGTATTCTTACTTTTTCAATCCTTAACTTGAGGGAGATTGACGAATAATATAATAGTCCTATGCTTCTTTGTACAAATAAAGGTGAACCATGATCTATAAACGTTTGTATTTAGAGTACCTCCTCAACACTGGAGTAATCCGATCTTTCTCGACCGAAAGGACAAGGGAGTTCTAGACCTACGAACCTTTTATTACTTGAACTTGTCATTCACCTACTCAAACAGACGAAGCCACCATGAATAGACCTATGAACCGTCTCAAGGCTCAAAGGAGCTGGAATTTTCCCTGGTGGAAGTTTGTAACAGGTGGAGTAGCCCTTATCACCATGCTCCTAATGGACGCTGTCATCTACAAACAAAAATAGAACTCATGCATATATATAATTAAATTTTAGGACTTACCATTGACGATATTCAGTCATGTCTAGTCGAACATATAAAATATGCCTTGTGATTTTAAAGTTAAGAAAGAGGCCAGTATTTCTACTTAATGCATAAAGCGGGGCTCACATAATAACGAATCCAGGATTAGAAACCCAAGTTTTATTTCCTTGATAAGCTTGTTCTCTTCTCCTCGTGTAAATCCAGAGGTACGGCAAGGCATCATATCCCCTCACTAGTGTACTTAACACTTTATTTTATCTAGATGCGAGAACTAATTGATTAAAATTCTAAACCTTTGTGCAACTTTATCTCCCATCAAATATTCTGCTTATTCCTGATACCCAAGTTCGAATACCCATGGATTCGTTGTTTGCTTATTGACTTTTTTTGAACAATGAAATCCATAACATAAATGTGGTTAAGTGCTAAAAAATTCGTATATTGTTTCTGTCGAGAGAAAGGGGAGTATTCATTATACAGGATGGAGAATCGATAGTCCTTGCTATGCCAGGAATAGGAAATCCTTAAAAAACCGGAATGCAAGTTAAAGTGTGGAGTCAGCCTTAAAAGTTTCTACCTAGACCAAGATAGAATTATACAAAAAAAAAACAAGAAATCCTTACAACATTCCAGTCGAGCCCAAAAGGTTGTAAAGGAAGGAAGCAAATGGAAAGACCCAAAAAGCAAAACCACATTGTAAAACTTAGGTTACGGAGCACAAGCTTTGAAGTTCCTAAGGAAGGCCTCACACGAAGCCACTCAAGGCAAAAAAAAAAAATTTGAACATCGATGCTGCCAGTATAAGCCCCGTTAATGAGCTATAAGCACTCCCAAACATGCTCTACATACTACGACATTTTATTGGACTGCTTACTGCAGATTTGCTATAGTTACAGAAGCAATGATCGATACCTTCTGGAAAGGATCCATGACAAAACTAACGTAACTTAACGAGAAAATAGTACAAGAGGACCCCAACCTTCACATGCATTAGCATTTTAACACTTTGGGTTCCAACCAATAGTTAGAAACAAACTCATTTTCTGTAGCACTTGCCTCCTCACTAACATATTGCGCCCAAAAAACCGTTAAAAAGTCACAGCATCTTGTATATGAATTGTGATGTGTTAAAAGAGAAACTTATTCTGCCCCTCCAAACAATCCATCCCTGTGCAGCATAACCCCCCCCCCCCCCCAACACCACACCCCTTCCTGCCATCCCCTGTCCGTTATCTCACTTTGTCCCCAGTCTAGCAAAAATAAGACTTGTGTCTTCATTCTCACACTTCATACCCTGCTTCTGGGTAATACGATGCCAGTGCAAATAAGCTATTGAATACGGCGAAAGGGGAAGGGAATTGATCGAAGTACAGTGCTGCTAGTTTTCTGGCCCAAGAAAAAACTTCCCAGGTTCTTCGGAGAAACAAG